CATGTGCGTGTCCCTGGGTAGTTGAAATTAAGAGAATGGTGATGACTTTTAACCAGCAAGCTGCTTCAGGCACATGTTTAACAAAGACACATCCTGCACAGCCCAAAATCCATTAAACCTTGAGTCACCACAGCACATGTCTATTGCAAGGACAAGGTTGGGGGTAGGGTCACAGATTAACAGCATCTCAAATACAGAACGAAATGGAGTCTCTGATGTCTACTTTTTCTGTATAGACACAGAAACAGGCTGATCTTTCTTTTCCCCACAGGTATAGACACTCAAGATTTCACTTTTTGTTTTTCCCTAGGTTCAAAAACATTTTCCCAGCTGATGCTTATCGGAACCTCTGCCTAGCTCTTCGAGGTCACAAGACTGTAACGCATCTGACCCTTCAAGGCACTGACCAGAAGGATATGCTTCCTGCATTGTGTGAGGTCTTGAGACACCCAGAATGTAACCTGCGATATCTCGGGTATATCTCTTCATCGTTAAAATCCTTCGTCCTACGAACAGCTACCACAAGCTTATGTGGCATTTTGTGTAAATGAGAAAAGTTTGTTATTCTGACTAGAAAACAGTACTAAAGGCAGATGACCCAGGAGACAGCATGGGCTGAACTTGAGTTTCTACCTGCCTTGAGCAGTAAACAACCTGGACAACCATACGTGAGGACCCTGAATCTGAGGAAATTCCAGAATCTTTATCTTTTTTTTTTTTTAGATGAAGTCTTGCCCCGTTGCCCAGGCCGAAGTACGATGGCACAATCTTGACTCACTGCAACCTCTGCCCCTCGAGTTCAAGTAATCTGCCTCAGCCTCGCAAGTAGCTGGGATTACAGGCACTCACCACGCCCGGCTACTTCTGTGCTTTTAGTAGAGACTGTTTTGGCACATTTGCCAGGCTGGTATTGAACTCATGACCTCAGGTGACCTGCCCCCTCTCAGGCTCCCAAAGTGCTGGGATTATAGGCGTGAGCCACTGTGCCCAGCCAGAATCCTTATGTTCCCTTTTTTTTTTTTTTTGAGATGGAGTCTTGCTCTGTCTCCCAGGCTGCAGTGCAATGGTATGATCTCAGCTCATTGCAACCTCTACCTCCTGGGTTCAAGTGATTCTCCTGCCTCAGCCTCCTAGTAGCTGGGATTACAAGCACGCGCCACCATACCTGGTTAATTTTGCATTCTTAGTAGAAATGGGGTTTTTATCACATTGGCCAGGCTGGTCTCGAACTCATGACCTCAGGTGATCCATCCTCCTCGGCCTCCCAAAGTGGGGCGTGAGCCACCGTGCCCAGCCCAGAATCTTTAGCTTCTGTCAGAGATCATTCACCATGGTCATGCTTCTCCTGTATGATGATTCAGAATACCGGCTATTGACATTTTTCAAGCAAGATCCCTTCAGGAACATCGAGTTGCCCCTTTCTGTTAGTCCTCTGGTTTGAGAGCTCTCCCCTGGGAAGCTCTCCACGTGGCTGCCCAGGTGATGGGAACCATCATTGTCATGGGGTTCCGTGGAGCCTCACTTGGCCACACTGGCATAGTAGGTGGTCACTGGCCTCATTGTTCCCCTGGGCCAGGCACAGTAGGTCACGTCTGTGATGCCAGCACTTGGGGAGGCTGAGGCAGTGAATCACTTGAAGTCAGGAGTTAGAAACCAGCCTGGTTAACATGGTGAAACCCGTCTCTACTAATAATACAAAAATTAGCGAGGCGTGTTGGCCACGCCTGTGGTCCCAGTTACTCAGGAGGCGGAGGCAGGAGAATCATTTAAACCTGAGAGGCGGAGGTTGCAGTGAGCTGAGATCGCACCACTGCACTCCAGCCTGGTCAACAGTGCGAGACTATCTCAAAAAAAAAAAAAAAAATCTTGGCCGGGTGCGGTGGCTCATGCCTGTAATCCCAGCACTTCAGGAGGCCAAGGTGGGTGGATCACTTGAGGTCAGGAGTTCAAGACCAGTCTGGCCAACCATGGTGAAACCCCATCTCTACTAAAAATACAAAAATATTAGCCGGGCATGGTGGCAGGCGCCTGTAATCCCAGCTACTCGTGGGGCTGAGGCAGGAGAATTGCTTGAACCCAGGAGGCAGAGGTTGCAGTGAGCCAAGATCACGCCATTGTACTCCAGCCTGGGCAACAGAGCAAAACTCCATCTCGAGGGTAAAAAAATTGCTCTGGCTCTACTGATAACGATCCTAGGCTGCTTAATGGGATCTTCTTGTCAGTTGAATGGGATACTGTACGTCTCACAGGTATTTGAAGGTTGAAATGAAACCAGATCCAAGCCCATGTATTCAATAGTGGCTGCTGTCGTCACTAACCACTACAATTACCCTCTTTCTTTGTTACATGAGAATAATGGGGTACAGGGTGAGGGGGAACATCGAGTAAATTAAAGATGTGGGTCACTAATCTATTTTTTTTCTCGAGATAGTCTTGCTCTGTCTCCCAGGCTGGAGTGCAGTGCCACAATCTTGGTTCACTGCAACCTCGGCCTCCCAGGTTCAAGTGATTCTCCTGCCTCAACTTCCTGAGTAGCTGGGATTACAGGCACCCAGCTGTATTTTTGTATTTCTAGTAGAGACAGGGTTACGCCATGCTGGTGGCCAGGGTGGTCTCAAACTCCTGACCTCGGGAATCCCCCACGCCCAGCTAATTTTTTATGTCTTTAGTAGAGATGGGTTTCACCATGTTGGCCAGGCTGGTCTCGAACTCCTGACCTCAAGTGATCCACCTGCCTTCCAAAATGCTGGGATTACAGCCACGTGCCACCCTGCCCAGCTAATTCTTGTATTTTTAGGAGAAACGGGGTTTTATCATGTTGTCCTGCTGGTCTTAAACTCCTCGCCTCATGATCTACCTGCCTTGGCCCTGCCAAAGTACTGGGATCACAGGCATGAGCCACCATGCCCAGCCACTCATTTCTTACGAATTTATTCTAACACATTTTCCGGATGAACACAGAGCACCTTGAAACGTGGTTAGTGGACTGGGGCATGGTGCCTCATACCTGTAATCCCAGTACTTTGGGAGGCCTAGGCTGGTGTATCACTTGAAGTCAGGAGTTTTTGTTTGTTTTGAGATGGAGTCTGCTCTGTCACCCAGGCTGGAGTGCAGTGGAGTGATCTTGGCTCACTGCAACCTCCACCTCCTGGGTTCAATTCTCTTGCCTCAGCCTCCTGAGTAGCTGGACTACAGGCATGTGCCACCACACCCAGCTAATTTTCGTATGTTTAGTAGAGCTGGGGTTTCTCGAACTCCTGACCTCGTGATCTGCCCGCCTCGGCTCCCAAAGTGTTGGGATTACAGGTGTGCGCCATTGCCCTGGCCAAAGTTAGGAGTTTGAGACCAGGCTGGCCAACATGGTGAAAACCCGTCTCTACTAAAATACAAAAATTAGCCAGGCAAGATGGCACGCGTCTGTAATCCCAGCTACTCGGGAGGCTGAGACAGGAGAATTGCTTGAATCCAGGAGGCGGAGGTTGCTGTGAGCTGAGATTATGCCACTACACTCCAGCTTGGGTGACACAGCATAATTCCCTTTCAAAAAACCAAACAATGAAACATAGGTTAGTGGACTCTGCATCCAACATTTGAGTCAGGTTGACTGAGGCTCATGTATTTCCAGCTGATTCCTGGACAATGCTGATGCACTGGTCTGGGGACCATCCTTTGACAATCACTGTTCCAGATAATTCAAGTCGGGGTGTAACATAACCAGTGAGATATAAATCAAAGATGATTCCGTGGTTAGATTCTCAAGAATAACGTATTCGCTGGGCACGCTGGCTTACGCCTGTAATCCCAGCACGTTGGGAGACCAAGGCAGGTGGATCGCCTGAGGTCAGGAGGTCGAGACCAGCCTGACCAACGTGGAGAAACCCCGTCTCTACTAAAAATACAAAATCAGCCAGGCGTGGTGGTGCATGCCTGCAATCCCAGCTACTCGGGAGGCTGAGGCAGGAGAATCACTTGAACCCGGGTGGCGGAGGTCGCTGTGAGCCGAGACTGCCATTGCATTCCAGCCTGGGCAACAAGAGTGAGACTCCGTCTCAAAAAAAAAAAAAACTTGTTCCCATTTCTCCCACAGGCTGGTGTCTTGTTCTGCTACCACCCAGCAGTGGGCTGATCTCTCCTTGGCCCTTGAAGCCAACCGGTCCCTGATGTGCGTAAACCTCTCCGACAATGAGCTCCTGGATGAGGGTGCCAAGTTGCTGTACACAACTTTGAGGCACCCAAAGTGCTTCCTGCAGAGGTTGTCGTAAGTCTCTCCTTTTCTTCCAGAGCAGCTGTGGTTTCGGTCTGGGGCCATAGATGGGGCGTGGTCACGCCTGACTTGGCTGTTTGCAACCTCTCGCTGATGTGAACAGCTGCTCCCATGTTTAGATCCAGGCCGATGGCTTGTGAATCTTGTTCTCTCCTTCCTGTTCCTTCATAGGATCACCAGCGTGTGACAGAGGGTGGGGCGTTCACAAGAAGGGGCTTTCGGATGCTGGCATTTGGAGATAGCCGAGAAGGTTGAAGTTGGAAATGTCAACCATGTTGCCATTTGTGATTCTTTTGCAGGTTGGAAAACTGTCACCTGACAGAAGCCAATTGCAAGGACCTTGCTGCTGTTTTGGTGGTCAGCCGGGAGCTGACACACCTGTGCTTGGCCAAGAACTCCCTCAAGGATACAGGGGTGAAGTTTCTGTGTGAGGGCCTGAGCTACCCGAGTGTAAACTGCAGGCCTTGGTGTAAGTCTGCACTGGCTGCGTGTGTGTGTGTGTGTGTGTGTGTGTGTGTACATAGCTGGCTGCCTGTGTGTGTGTGTGTATGTACATAGCCCCCACCTCTGGGTTCTAGTAGGGTGGTTATGAGAACACTTAATTCCTCTAAATGCCCCAAGCATGATGCTAATGGTTACAACTGGTGAGATCTGGGGAGATGGTGATAGGAAAAAAAGTATAAGTAGTAGTAGTAGTAGTAGTAGTAGTAGTAATATTCTATAGGGATTTGGAGAATGTAGCTGGTTTTCAGGGGTTTTTTTTTTTTCCTCCTCTTTATGCATGTATTTTAGAGATGGGGTCTCGCTATGTTGCCCAGGCTGGTCTCAAACTCCCGAGCGCAAGAGGTCTGCCTGCCTTGGCCTCCCAAAGTGCTAGGATTACAGGCATGAGCCATCTCGCCCCACGCTGTGTTTTCTCTTAATCTGTGTTCTTAGACCTATCATTGTGTAACATAAATTGCATGCAATTGTTGTAAATGAAATTCATTTATTTAATGATTTGCAAATCAGGTAGTCTTCTGGGCCATCGTAGGCTCAGACTCCCGACGGAAGCTATTGGAAGCTACATGCTCAATATGATCTTCCTGTCAATACTAAAATCACAGGACAGGTGGCCTGGCACAGTGGCTCACGCCTGTAATCCCAGCACTTTGGGAGGCTGAAGCAGATGGATCATAAGGTCAGGAGTTCAAGACCAGCCTGGCTAATACGTGAAACCCCATCTTTACTAAAAATACAAAATTAGCCAGGCGCGGTGTCGGATGTCTGTAATCCCAGCTACTTAGGACGGTGAGGCAGAGAATTGCTTGAACCCAGGAGGCGGAGGTTGCAGTGAGCCGAGACTGTGCTCCTGTACTCCAACCTGGGCGTCAGAGCAAGACTGTCTCAGAAAAAAAAAGTTTCTGTACATTCACAAACCTTTAAGATTGGGGGGGATGTTTTCACTCCTCTGTCGTCATGGGCTCCAATCTGCCCTCTATTTCCATGGCCCTTCCAGGTCCTGTGTCCCTCGGCTAGTGGTATGCTTTGCTTGGGACCCAAAGATATGTGGGCATTATAGTTCAAATTATAGTTAAGGTTTAGAACTCTATTGAGACAGAAGAAAGAAAACAGAACTTAAGGTGAAATCTGTCTGATAAGCTGTGTTGGTTGGTATCTCAGATCTTACTACCAGATACGTTGGAGTCTGAGCTGGCGTCTTTTGCCTGTGAGACACTACCTCTCTAGCAACTGAATTTAGGAAATAGAATTGTAATCCCAGCACATTAGGGAGGCCAGGATGGGCAGATCATCTGAGGCCGGGAGTTCGAGACCAGCCTGGCCAACATGGTGAAACCCTGTCTCTACTAAAAATACAGAATTTAGCCGGGTGTGGTGGTATACACACACACACACACACACACACACACACACACACAAAACACGTGTGCATGTGCCGGTAATCCCAGATATTCGGAAGACTGGGGCATGAGAATCGCGTGAACCCGGGAAGCGGAGGTTGAAGTAAGCCACCGTGCCCGCTGAGGATCCTTTTTACTTCTCCAGCTTCTGTTGGCCACCTGCATCCTTGGCTTGTGGCCCTTCCTCCAGCTTCAGCAGAGCATCTTCAAACATTGCTCTGGCTCCCTTATCACGTCACCTCCTGCTGGCTTTGACTGTCAGCTCCCTCTTACGAGGATCCCTGTGATTTCTGGACCTACCCAAATAAACCAGGATATAAAGCATCTTAAGAAGCTCAGTCACATCTAAGATGCAAGGTCCCTTTGCTCACAGGTGCCAGAAGTTGGGACTTGGACATCTTGGGGAGGCCATTCTTCTGTCCACCACGCCACCCCATGATTCCATTTCCAGGTCACCATTGTCTCTTAAGCGTGTCTAAAACCCATGGCTCAGTCGAAGGTGCCTCACACCAGTGAGAACTCACAGGTTCAGGCTTGCTTTCTTCCTGTGGTTGATTTCTAGGCTGTGGAACTGCGACATCACGAGCGATGGCTGCTGCAGTCTCGCAAAGCTCCTCCAAGAAAAATCAAGCCTGTCGTGTTTGGATCTTGGACTGAATCACATAGGAGTTACCGGAGTGAAGGTCCTGTGCGAGGCTTTGAGCAAACCACTGTGCAACTTGAGATGTCTGTGGTGAGTTAACTTATAAGTTCAACTTCCTCTACTTAGACCTTATTGAATCTGTGGCTAACGTGAAGCAATCAGTGAAACCGGTAATTGAGAGGACTCGGATAGAGTCAACCGAGCTTTCACTAAGGTAGTTAAAGGAATAGTTCTAGTCTATGTCTAAGTCTCTTTTTTTTTTTGAGACGGAGTCTTTGTCGCCCAGGCTGGAGTGCAGTGGCCGGATCGCAGCTCACTGCAAGCTCCGCCTCCCAGGTTCACGCCATTCTCCTGCCTCAGCCTCCCGAGTAGCTGGGACTACAGGCGCCCACCACCTCGCCCAGCTAGTTGTTGTATTTTTAGTAGAGACGGGGTTTCACCAGGTTAGCTAGGATGGTCTCGATCTCCTGACCTCATGATCCGCCCACCTGGGCCTCCAAAAGTGCTGGGATTACAGGCGTGAGCCACCGCGCCCGGCCTGAGACTTGTGTTGGTCATGCAGGTCCCCAAGCCCCGAGGCTGTGCTTGGCTTATGGGAGGGCATCGATCAGCACCAGCTGAATCAACGTGCTCATTTCTGTGTTTCCTCAGGTTGTGGGGATGTTCCATCCCTCCCTTCAGTTGTGAAGACCTCTGCTCTGCCCTCAGCTGCAACCAGAGCCTCCTCACTCTGGACCTGGGCCAGAATCCCTTGGGGTCTAGTGGAGTGAAGATGCTGTTTAAAACCTTGACACGTCCTGGCACCCTCCAGACACTCCGGTATGATCTATTTACTTCCCCATCAGGCTTCCTCCGGGGTGGTAGGTTTAGGGGAAACATAATGACGTGGACCTGCTGTAGGAGACTGATCCGGTAGCTGGAATTACAGGTTCCCGCCACCACACCCAGCTAATTCTGTATTTTTAGTAGAGACGGGCTTTCACCATGTTGGCCAGGCTGGTCTCGAACTCCTGACCTCAGGTGATCCACCCGCCTCGGTCTCCCAAAGTGCTGGGATTACAGGCGTGAACCGCTGCACCCAGCCCTTTTTTTTCCTTGGAGGCAAGAACTCACTCTGTTCCCCAGGCTGGAGTCCAGCAGCACAGTGATGGCTCACTCCAGTTCCTGGGCTCAAGCAATCCTCCTACCTCAGTTCCTGAGTAGCCAGGTTTGTAAGCATGAACCATTGCACCCAGCCATGGCTGCTTGTCTACCTGCTCATGAGAGCCAGTTGTCATTGGATTGTGTTTTGTTTGTTGGGTTTTGTTGGGGTTTTGGGTTTTGTTTTGTTTTGTTTTGTTTTCTGAGATGGAGTCTCGCTCTGTTGCCCAGGCTGGGGTATAGTGGTGTAGTATCTCAGCTAACTGCAACCTCCGCCTCCCAGGTTCAGGCTATTCTCATGCCTCAGCCTCCCATGTAGCTGGGATTACAGGCATACACCACCACACATAGCTAATTTTTGTATCTTTAGTAGAGACAGGTTTTGCCGTGTTGGCCAGGGTGGTCTCAACTCCTGACCTTGGTGGTTCACCCACCTCAGCATCCCAAAGTGCTAGGATTACAGGCATGAGCCACCGCACCCAGCCTGAGTTGTATTTCAATACCATGGCAAGAACCAAGAGCCCCTTCCTAGAAGTGTGGGAACTTCCAGAAATTCTCACAAGCAATATAGTCTACTGCTGGCTTAAAATAATCTTTATGTAGAAGAAACATAGATTACTTATTTACTTAACATGAAACTGAGCTTAAGATACTTTGCAAGTCAAAAGACATATGGACGTTAAGGGCTTTTTAAGCTTTGAGTTTATATTTTGGAGACGGAGTTTTGCTCTTGTTGCCCAGCCTGGAGTGCAATGGTGCTATCTCAGCTCACTGCAACCTCCGCCTCCCGGGTTCAAGCAGTTCTCCTCCCTCAGCCTCCCAAGTAGCTGGGATTACAGGCATGTGTACCACGTCTGGCTCATTTCGTATTTTTAGTAGAGACGGGGTTGCTCCCTGTTGGTCAGGCTGGTCTCGAACTCCCGACTTCAGGTGACCCGCCTGCCTCAGCCTCCCAAAGTGCTGGGATTACAGGCGTGAGCCACCGCGCCTGGCCTGCATCTCCTCTGTTTAACCTGGTACTCTTGGGTCTACTGAGTAGAAGTTGCCAAAGTGGGTGATGGAGCAGGTAGGCAGGTATTAGAGCTACAGCCCAGCCACACTCAGCAATTGCATTTTCTGTGCATGATAAACAAGAATCTAAAAATACACAGTGGCTTGATACCATTACAAGGTTAACCTGATGTTATGTTTTTCTCTATCAGATCAACATGGTTAAGAATAAGAGGAATGAAAAAAAGGATTAAAAAGAGAAATGAAAGTCTTTAATTTTACATTTTATTATTTATTTTTGAGACAAAAATCTCACTCTTGCTCAGGCTGGAGTGCAGTGGCCCGATCTCGGCTCACTGTAACATCCACCTCCCAGGTTCAAGTGATTCTTCTGTCTCAGCCTCCTAAGTAGCTGGGACTGTAGGCATGCACCATCACACCCAGCTAACTTTTATATTTTTAGTAGAGATGGACTTTCACCATCTTGCCTAGGCTGGTCTCAAACTCCTGACCTCAAGTGATCTGCCCCCCTCACTCTCTCAAAGTGCTGGCATTATAGGCATGACCCACCACATCTGGCCTCATTTTATATTTAAAAATAAATAAGCAATCAGGCCAGGTGCGGTCTGGGCAACGTGGTAAAACCCCAACTCTATTAAAAATACAAAATTAGCTGAGCATGGTGGCAGGCGCCTGTAGTCCCAGCTACTCAGGAGGCAGAGGATAGGATGGCTTGAACCCTAGAGGCACAGGTTGCAGTGAGCTGAGATGGTGCCACTGCACTCTATCCTGGGTGACAGACTGTCTCAAAGAAAAAAAGAAAATCAATATGGAACACTCCTTTGCCACGTAGAATAATCAGGAAAGGTGACCTCAACAGAATTTCAGGTACTTGGGAATTTGAAAAATCTTCTTGATACACAAAGTAACCTTTTCCTCCCCCATTGTACCCCAGGTTGAAAATAGATGACTTTAATGATGAACTCCATAAGCTGCTGGAAGAAATAGAAGAAAACAACCCACAACTGATTATTGATACTGAGAAACATGATCCCTGGAAAAAAAGACCTTCTTCTCATGACTTCATGATCTGAATCCCCCCAGAGTCGTTCATTCTCCATGAAGTCGTTGATTTTCCAGGTGTTGGTGAACTGCCTGTGACTCCTCTTCTCCCCCGCCCCCACTCCTCAGGGATAATGAGCTCACTGCTAGGCTAGATGTTTCAGCCATGGTCCTGCCTCTGTTTTACACGTGCACACGTCCTTAACTTTGTTACATATGAAATATCTGTATCACGGGTACATTGAGAGAAATAAAGGTGAGAGCATTCACAGATGAAGCTGTTACTTAATAATGGACTTTGACACGTTAGAGAAAAGATACTTGGCCTGGCGCAGTGGCTCACGCCTGTAATACCAGCACTTTGGGAGGCCGAGGTGGGTGGATCACGAGGTCAGGAGATCGAGACCATCCTGGCTAACACGGTGAAACCCCGTCTCTACTAAAAAATACAAAAAACTAGCAGGGCGAGTTGGCGGGCTCCTGTAGTCCCAGCTACTCGGGAGGCTGAGGCAGGAGAATGGTGTAAACCCGGGAGGCGGAGCTTGCAGTGAGCCCCAGCCTGGGAGATAGAGCGAGACTGTCTCAAAACAAAACAAAAAAGAGGTATCTTACTGGGGAGAACCTGGGGGGTGGGGGAAGTTGACAGTGTTTAATTGCATTGATTTCTATTGCCTTGTCAATCTTTGCCTTGCCTTCTTGGTATTTCCTTTTTTTTTTTTCTTTTTTTTTAAGATTTGAATTTCACTCTGTTGCCCATGCTGGAGTGCAGTGGCACGATCTCAGCTCATTACAACCTCCCAGGTTCAAGCGATTCCGTCTCAGCCTCCCGAGTAGCTGGGATTACAGGCATTCCCCACCACACCCAGCTAAATTTTTTTTTTATATTCTTAGTACAGATGAGGTTTCACCATGTTGGCCAGGCTGGTCTCAAACTCCTGACCTCAAGTGATCCGCCCACCTAAACTCCCAGAGTGCTGGGATTATAGGCATGAGCCACTGTACCCAGCCTTTTTTTTTTTTTTTCCTCCTCAAGAGTGAGTGTTGCTCTGTTGTTGCCCAGGTTGGAGTACAACAGCACGATAGCTCACTGCAGCCTCAAGCTTGCAGGTTCAAGTGATCCTCCAGCCTCAACCTCCTCAGTAGCTGTGACTACAGATGCACGCCACCAAACCAGGCCAGTTCTTGGGGTTTTTTTTTTTTTTTTTTTTTTTTGAAGACAGGGTCTCACTATGTTGCCCAGGCTGGTCTCAAACTCCCAGGCTCAAGTAATATTCCTGCCTCAGCCTCCCAAAGTGCTGGGATTACAAGTGTGAGCCACTGTGCCCAGCCTGCCTTGTTATTTCTTGACCTGCATGGATCACTGCCTGTTGAGTGTTACTTGCCAGAGGATTTCTCCTACCAACATCCAATATTTTAGGTGCTTCAGTGTAGCTCATATACAACCATGTCATTGCTCTGATTTGCTTTTTAAAAATTCCAACTTAAAATAGAATCTTTTCTATTGCCAGGCACGGTGGCTTACATCTGTAATCGCAGCACTCCTAAGCTCAGGTGATCCACCTGCCTTGGTCTCCCAAAGTGCTGGGATTACAGGCGTGAGTCACCGCACCCAGCAACATCTTTTTTTTTTTTTCTTTGTGGCAGAATCTTGCTCTGTCGCCCAGTCTGGAGTGCAATGGCACAATCTCAGCTCATTGCAGCCTCCGCCTCCTCATTTCAAGCAATTCTCCCATCTCAGCCTCCCATGTAGCTGGGACCACAGGTGTGCACCACTGCACCCAGGTAATTTTTGTATTTTTTGTAGAGACAGGGTTTCACCAGGTTGCCCAGACTGGTCTTGAACTACTGAGTTCAGGTGATCTGCCCAGCTTGGCCTCCCCAAGTGGTGGGATTGTATGTCTGAGCCACCACACCTGGCCAAAAGTAGTTTTAATTTTTTTTTTTTTTTTTTTGAGACGGAGTCTTGCTCTGTTGCCCAGGCTGGAGTGCAGTGGCACGATCTCAGCTCACTGCAAGCTCCGCCTCCTAGGCCGACGCCATTCTCCTGCCTCAGCCTCCCGAGTAGCTGGGACCACAGGTGCCCGCCTCCGCACCCGGCTAATTTTTTGTATTTTTAGTAGAGACGGGATTTCACTGTGTTAGCCAGGATGGTCTCGATCTCCTGACCTTGTGATCCACCCGGCTCGGCCTCCCAGACTGCTGGGATTACAGGCGTGAGCCACCGCACCCAGCAATATTTAAATTGAAAACTAAAAAAATTAATCTCACTGTTACACTTTCATTTCTTCATCAGGGGCCATTGGTTTATTTTTTACCGACTAGATCCAAGTTCTCTGATACTACCTTTAAACCACTCCATCACTTTCCAGTTCCACTGCATACTGTGTGGGCTTCTGAGGTTTCCTGTTTCAAGGTCTCCTTACCCAACACAGCATAGGTCATTCCCTGAGCATTCCCCCCCTCTTTTTTTTTTTTTTTTTTTTTTTGGACAGTCTCGCTCCATTCCCTGGTCTGGAGTGCAGTGGCGTGATCTCGGCTCACTGTAACCTCCGCCTCCCAAGTTCAAGCAATTCTGCCCCACACACTCCCGGCAAATTTTTACATTTTTAGTAGACAGGATTTCACCATGTTGGCCAGGCTGGTCTTGAACTGACCTCAAGTGATCCACCTGCCTCAGCCTCCCAAAGTGCTGGAATTACAGAAATAAGCTACCGTGCGCGGCCTCCAGAGCATCTTTATTCTCAGGTTCACTGGGAGGAAGGGGCGAAGTTGGTAAAAGAGAGGCACAGAGTTTTAAAAGGACACTAAAGGTTTCTCATTCTCCACACTATTGACATTTGGGGTCAGATCACTACTTGTTAGGAAACATGGTCCTCTACATTTACAGTATGTTTGGCAGCATCCCTAGCCTCTACCCACTAGATACCAGCATCCTCACAGTTATGACGATCAAAAATGTCTCTGGGCATTAGAAAATATTTGCTGAAATGCAAAATTTTCTTAGGTTGAGAACCATTGTAATCTAGCCCCATCTTTACAGAAGAAATTGAGTAATGTATCCACATCCATTTAGGAACTGTATTGATACCCCAGGGGCCCATAAAATGTAAACTTGCACTCATAATTAACCATCTTTCTCCAACGTGTGTACTTCATCTAGCCAAGCTCTCAGATGCCTACCCTCATGACCTACAAGTACTAAACAGTGAAACCTGTGGCACATGGGTTCGTTCATGTGTGTCTGAATCTATGTCCAGAGATGAACAAGTACTGCTGTCCGTTTTCTTGCACCTCACCTGTGACCACTCGCCTCTGCCCATCACTGAATTCTGGATCTCATCACATTGATGATCAAGAACAAAGTTCACTGGGTTCTCTGCTAAGGATACAAAAAAAAATCATCCCACAATTCCATGGCCATGTTTGCACCCGCGAACCACGAGGGCTGGGTTAGCCCAGATGGTGGGCTTGGGAAGTGTTCTTGGAGCAAAAAAAAAAGCCAGAGGTCATGAGAGCCTGATCCCCTCCCTCAACACACACACACACACACACACACCCACACACACACACACACACCACTTTACATCCAAGTCTCATTTTCAGGCTTTTCAAAGCTAAGGTCACTCCCATGAGCTACGCCCGGCTTCTCTCAATCCTCAACTCTTCCACGAGAATAGGAAGAACTCTCTGCTGTTCGAGATCCTCTGGCTCAGCCGCAGCTCTGGAAGAAAGACCTCAGTGAGGGTCTTTTCACAATCCCCAATCGCAGATCACATCCTGTGCCCCAAAACAACTTCCATGGTCACCACATCCTTTCCTCCCTTGCTCATTCCCTGAGCCCTGACCCAGGCTTCTCCAAGGTTCCCTACTCACCCAGACACAGCAGTGTAGATCATGTAAATGTGCTCTGTGCAAGTAAAGTCGGAAGACGGGGTGGGCTGGGCACGGTGAATCGCACCTGTAATCCCAGCACTTCGGGAGGCGGAGGCGGGTGTATCACATGAGGTCAGGAGTTCAAGACCAGCCTGGCCAACATGGTGAAACCCTGTCTCTACTAAAAATACAAAAATCAGTCGGGCGTGGTGGCGCATGCCTGTAGTCCCAGCTACTCTGGAGGCTGAGGCAGGAGAATCGCTTAAACCCGGGAGGTGGAGGTTGCAGTGAGCCATTGCACTTTAGCCTGGGGGACAGAATGAGACTCCGTCTCAAAAAAAAAAAGAAAAAAAAAATGTAGCTGAGCATGGTATTGCACGTCTGTAATCTCAGCTACTTGGGAGTCTGAGGCAGGAGAATCGCTTGAACCCAGGAGGTGGAGGTTGCCGTGAGCCAAGATTGTAATCACCCAAGGTGTTCACCTTGCCCACTGCCTAGACAGAGCTGATTCATCAGGACAGGGGAGTTGCATTAAGAAATAATTCATGCAGAGCTGGCTCTACGAAAGACCAGAGTTTTATTACTCAAATCCGTGTCTCCCAGCATTCAGGTAGAAGAGTTGTTTTAAGGGATAACTTGGTGGGTGGGAAGCCCGTGGGCTAGGAGTGCTGATTGGTCAGGGATGAAATAATGGGAGTCAAAGCTATCTTCTCGAACTCAGTCAGTTCCTGAGTGGAGGCCAAAAGATAAGATGGGCCAGTTTATTGAGATGGGTGGTGCCAGCTGATCCATCCAGTGCAGGTTCTGCAAATTATCTCAAGCACTTACCTTAGAAGCAGTTTAGGGAGGGTCACAATCTTGTAGCCTCCAGCTGCATGTCCTAAATCATAATTTCTAATCTCGTGGCTAATGTTAGTCCTACAGAGCCAATCTAGTCCCCAGGCAACAAAGAGGTCTGCTTTGGGAAAGGGCTATCGTCTTTGTTTAAACCATAAACTAAGTTTCTCCCAAAGTTCAGCCTACACCCAGGAATGAAAAAGGACAGCTTGGAGGTTACAAGCAAAATGGAGTCAGTTAAGTCTCTTTCACTGTCTCAGTCATAATTTTGCAAAAGTGGTTTCAAGCTGACACAACTGCACTCCACCCTGGGCGACACAGCGAGACCCTGTCAAGAAAAAAAGAACAAAAAACAAAAAAAAACAAGAGGTGAAGTCAAGATAGGAAGGAAAGTCGGAAGACACCAAGTGGAGGTAGAAGACTAGAAATGATGTCATATAGGAAGTAAAGTCAGAAGACAGGAAGTGAAGGTAGAAGACAGGAAGTGAGGTCATACAGGAGGCAAAGTCAGAAGACAGGAAGTGATGTCAACCCAGGAAGTGCAGTCGAAGGTAAGCAAGAAG